AAAAAACCTCTCCCTCTTGAGTGGCTGTGGCTACCCAGGTTTTCCCATGGCCTGGATGTTTTGTATCTTTTTGTCCCCTTTAGATGGTATGCCTGGCAATTTAAGTTATAGCACAGTCTTTCCTGTACTGAAGAGGTACACAGTTCAGGGTGAAAAAGCTTACAGGAAGGGAGTTTGCATTTTCCTGTTGTCATATGGGCATGGCATTTCCTAGGGTGGTCATAGTTGCACGTCCCATCTGTTTTTCCAGATTTCCCATGCCAGCAGATACCGAGTGCATAGTATGTGCACAGGCTTGGTTTCCGTTTGCCTTGGGTTTCTGTGACTGTATTCCCTGTTGGTGCATGTTTCCCTGTCTTACTTCTATCCTCCCTAGCACCAACAATGGAGCTCCCACCATTTGTTTTTGGTAATATATCCTCACTATTGCTAGTGGAGTCCTCTTGTTTGCTATTTCCTGCGGTATTTCTAGTTTGCAATATTGGTTTTATCTTATCTTTGACTACACTTGTTTCCCTACTATGGCTCCTGTCCCCTATGAGGTCATTCATATGTATTCCTTCCTGCGTATAATTCCCGACTACTTGGACAAAATCTCCAGCTTCACCATTACTGTCTCCCAGGACAGCATCTCCAGCTTCCCCATTACTGTCTCCCAGGACAGCATCTCCAGCTTCACCATTACTGTCTCCCAGGACAGCACCTCCAGCTTCACCATTACTGTCTCCCAGGACAGCACCTCCAGCTTCCCCATTACTGTCTCCCAGGACAGCACTATCAGCCCCCCATTTACTGACTACCAGGACATCATCTCCAGCCTTACAGTTTCTGACTACATGGCCAGTATCAAGGGCAGTACCATTCAGCCCGGACTTTTTATGTTCCCATCTGTTGTAGAAAGCTTCCAGGTTTTCTATGAAAGCAGCTTTGATGTTGACCTCTTTTAATACCCTTGTGATTTTAGTCCACAGATTTATCTCATTTGGGCATACCCAAAAACACTTCCCTGTTTTAATACTGCTTGTAGCTAGTTCCTGGATATCTGCACAAGGGGCGTGACACCAATTTCCACAGAAATGACAATTTATGCATGTGGAAGCCCGTTTGTTTGACTGACCACAGACTACACACAGCTTCATAATGATTTGAATGGTTGATTTACTGCAATTCTACTAGCAACCTCTTGAATATTCTATTAATAACCTGCTAGGTGGTGCACAACGAAACCGTTTGAAATCAGTCCAGGGTTCGGACCAGTCAAGGGTTCGGACCAGTCAAGGGTTCGGACCAGTCTATCTGATCTGATCAGTGGGTCACTTATTTAAACCATACTGGTCGGTGATTTGAGCTAACACATGAAGGATCTACTGGAAATTATCTACCCGAGTAATATGTGATTTGATTGATACAAAAGTATAACTTGCGTGTTGAAGAGCCGGTGACTGCTGGCACTCCTACAATGACGAACGGTCGAGCCTCCACTTTTGTTTATCAATCGCTGTATCTAGCTTCTCTATTTTTTTTTTCCGTCTCCACCACAATAAATGCTATATTATCACTATAGTTGACTGGTGCAAATTTTGGAGGAAGGGCGCTTTTTCTGTAGTAATAATTGCTTCTCGTTGTGTATATTGCGACCGCTGGTAACTACAGGTTATATGAAATTCACAGTAACGTCTGGTATTTCAAGAAAAAGAAACTAATGAAAGTCACTCCACTTCACTAAGTACCATTATAATATTGGTTAGTTGCTACTACAACACTGTATTCTGCTATTCACTGGTATCACTAGATTATATGCGAGTACACTAGCAGGCCAGGAAGATTATTAAAACAGCTGACCTGTGGTAAGTTTCTGGCGACTTCTGGCACCTGCCTCTATAGGCTTATCACTTCATTTACAAATTCACCTGTTTTCAAATGACACTTTAGCCTTTATCATCAATATACTAGGGAGCCACTGTAGTATACACTATACACTATGTATACTCAATGCTTTCAGGGAGACTTCCTTTCTCTGACACAAAGTTCAATATTATTATTTTTTCCACACGGGACAGGCCTATGATTCCCCTCTGGCAGTAAACTCTGCTAGGAAGTGCACACTTATTCTCCTTTTTTTACTCAGTATATAATGTTTTCCGCCCAAGATTGGTTCCAGGCGCTAGAGGGATGTATCGTATAGGATTGATGACACAAATTAAAGTTCTAGCACGTAAGAGCGACCGTGAAAACACCAGAAAAACCGGGAGCACGAGGCACGCTGACACTTGACGTTAAATTTAGTACATGGGGTGGTAGGGGAAGTGGAATATTCAAACGGCTTCAGGAAGAAATCCAAATATTCTTCCTTGAAGCCTTTTTATGCACTTCTCCGAGGCTATGGGTCCCACTATATATATATATATATATATATATATATATATATATATATATATATATATATATATATATATATATATATATATATATATATATATATATATATATATATACCAGGAGAGGGTTTCGGGGGTCAAGGCTCCTGCGGCCCGGTCTATGACCAGGCCACAGCAGGATTCGAATCTGCACACTCAGACTGTGCAGGTTCGAGTCCTGCTTTGGATTGAGAGTTAATATTTGTTAAAATTTAGACCGTTTGCAAATATACACACATATATCTAGCTTCCCGGGAGGCTGGTTAAACGACTCGGGTTCAATTCCTGGCCGATCGCAGTGTGGTCTTTGCTCTAAACCAATTGTTTTCTTGTATGCATTGATTTGCGTACTACTCGTGAGACTGGTATCCAAACGGGAGGAGAATATGAATAGTCCATAAGCTTACTACTCCCCGGAATGTGCCCAGCGCTACGGTAAACATGTCTAGCATTCTCACTGAAAACCAAGCGTTTTTTTATCATAGTGATGTGGTTTAAGACGTCGAAAGTTTAGCTAGCTTTTCAGAAAGCTGCCCAGATGTCCCGGGTTTAATTTCTTTGTGGGATGGCTTCAACAAGGTGCTGGAAACATTCCATAAAGATTCTGGTCCATACTCTGAACATTTTTTTTTTTGTCTTATAAATTTTTTTTTGTCCCGGTGGTCCCTCTGATCTGGAGTTTACCTGGAGAGAGTTCCGGGGGTCAACGCCCCCGCGGCCCGGTCTGTGACCAGGCCTCCTGGTGGATCAGAGCCTGATCAACCAGGCTGTTACTGCTGGCTGCACGCAAACCAACGTACGAGCCACAGCCCGGCTGATCAGGAACCGACTTTAGGTGCTTGTCCAGTGCCAGCTTGAAGACTGCCAGGGGTCTGTTGGTAATCCCCCTTATGTATGCTGGGAGGCAGTTGAACAGTCTCGGGCCCCTGACACTAATTGTATAGTCTCGTGGTGAAACCAATGCATTAATATGTGATTAAATTTACAATTACTTGTAACTTTGTAGCGTAATTAAGAGTCCGTATTTATTACAGGGGGAAACACGAGGAAGTGTGTCCTTAAGACACTTGCTCTCCATGTTCTATCAGTAAAATGGGTTCCTCGCTTTATATGATTGGTGTGGGTCGCATCCTGGGACAAAATTGACCTAATTTGTCCGAAATGCTCTGCATAACTTGGGGCTTTCTATATAGTAGTATCATGCTAGTATATCATTGATGTCAGCTAGGCCTTTATACCTTGTATATGTACTGGTAGTAATAAAGTTATTATTATTAGTAGTATTAGTATTAGCATTATAACGATGGAGTGATCAATTAATAACTGTTTCCAATGTAGGTTGGACACGGTTTGATAACACAATAGGCTCACAAACGAGAAATCTGGGTTTGATCTTAGGGTGGACAGAGACGTTGGTCATGCTTTCTTACATTTGTTGCGTGTGTTAAGATAAGATATTATCTTATCCTAGGGTGGATAGACACGTTGGGCATATTTCCTTACACTTGTTGGGTCGGTTCACCTAGCAGTCAGTAGGTACTTGGGTGCTGACTGACTCTTGTGGGTCACATCCTTGGGAAAAGGACCAAAGAACCCAGCAAGTAAGTAAATTTATTTAGGTAAGTAAGTTTATTCAGGTATACACAAATACAGTTACATAGATTATCATACATAGCAGCATATGTGTAGAGAACCTGGGATAACCCAAAAAAGTCAGACAGAGTGACTTATTTCCACTGGGATCCTTTTACTTTATCATTATAAAATAAAAGCGATAATATCTTATTATTATTCCATAATGAACATAACATCATTCTAAAAAGACTATCCACTACACCAGGGTCATTAAGACTATCTTCTACTTCTTGATTCGCCGGTACTCTCCCGGCCCGGGCCTTTTCCATTTGGTGGCCCGGCCTTGGCTCCCTTGCTCGGGAGTATCTCAGACTAGTGTCTGCCATGGGAGAAGGTAGAAGTACCTCCTCATCATTGGGACCAACTGTCCCCAGGCCTAGCCACATTCCCCGCCCTCACGGGGCTCGTAGGGAGAAGCTGGGCCTCTCTGGTCTGCCATCCCCGCCCCAAGGGAGCTAATGGTAATGACAGTCTTGTGAGCTGCAAGCTCGGGCTCAGGCACCTACCCTGCCCTAGAAGGGCTGTGCATGGTGTCGATCGATCAAGACTATCTACAATACAGGAGGCATTACTATGAATAAGGTAAAATTACAAGTGTATTAGCTTAAAAAAATAAAAATCATTTGGTGATTTCAAGTATCATACAGAGTAACATATGTGTAAATTGTCTAGAATAGCCCCCCAAAAAATCAGATAAAATGATTTATTTTCAATGGTTAATAGAAATATGAGGAAAGCGAAGTTGCCGGTGGAAAACAAAAACGTTTTCTTATAACCTAAAATCAAAGAAAACGTACTTGATTATGGTATAACTAATTTGTTAATATCCAACAAAGAAAACGAATACAAAAACAGGGATAACTAATCTAACATGCTCTAAGACGTGCATCTTCGACAGATACATACAATGATAGAATTACAACCATAAACATCTAATGAGTGACTTACCGTAACCCTTCATGATGCCGTGGGTGAGGAAGAGAGGCGCTCGTCCCGTAGTGGACTTCTGACTTAGTGTGTCGCGTATGACCTGAGGATCCACCATCACAACCACCAACACGCTGCCCAACTTAAGGCTGAACACACGACCATAACGCTCCACCAGCTTCACTATAGTCAAGTGAGGGGCGACTGGGTCCAGCCAGGGCAGGTAGCCCACCTGGTATGTTAAATGATTTTTTAGTCATTTGACATTTTAATCATTTAATCGTTCTGCAAATAAACTGACAAATACTGTTCCATAAATTGAAATAATTATTCACATAGGAATATTAAATAGCTTAACGATGACAAATGATAACACTCTGAAAATGGATGAGGCTATTTATGGACTTGCTATCACACTGCTTCACTACCTGGAGTTTACCTGGAGAGAATTCCGGGGGTCAACGCTCCCGCGGCCTGGTCTGTGACCAGGCCTCATGGTGGATCAGAGCCTGATCAAACAGGCTGTTACTGCTGGCTGCACGCACTCCAACGTACGAGCTACAGCCTGGCTGGTCAGGAACCGACTTTAGGTGCTTGTCCAGTGCCTGCTTCAAGACAGCCAGAGGTCTATTGGTAATCCCCCTTATGTATGCTGGGAGGCAGTTGAACAGTCTCGGGCCCCTGACACTTATTGTATGGTCTCTTAACGTGCTAGTGACACCCCTGCTTTTCATTGGGGGGGATGTTGCATCGTCTACCGAGTCTTTTGCTTTCGTTGTGAGTGATTTTCGTGTGCAAGTTCGGTACTAGTCCCTCTAGGATTTTCCAGGTGTATATAATCATGTATCTCTCCCGCCTGCGTTCCAGGGAATACAGGTTTAGGAACCTCAAGCGCTCCCAGTAACTGAGGTGTTTTATCTCCGTTATGCGCGCCGTGAAGGTTCTCTGTACATTTTCTAGGTCAGCAATTTCACCTGCCTTGAAAGGTGCTGTTAGTGTGCAGCAATATTCCAGCGTAGATAGAACAAGCGACCTGAAGAGTGTCATCATGGGCTTGGCCTCCCTAGTTTTGAAGGTTCTCATTATCCATCCTGTCATTTTTTTAGCAGATGCGACTGATGCAGTGTTATGGTCCTTGAAGGTGAGATCCTCCGACATGATCACTCCCAGGTCTCTGACATTAGTTTTTTGCTCTATTTTGTGGCCGGAATTTGTTTTGTGCTCTGATGAAGTTTTTATTTCCTCGTGTTTACCATATTGGAGTAATTGAAATTTCTCATCGTTGAACTTCATATTGTTTTCTGCAGCCCATTGAAAGATTTGGTTGATGTCCGCCAGGAGCCTTGCAGTGTCTGCAATGGAAGAAAGACACTGTCATGCAGATTCGGGTGTCATCTGCAAAGGAAGACACGGTGCTGTGGCTGACATCCTTGTCTATGTCAGATAGGAGGATGAGAAACAAGAGGGGAGCGAGTACTGTGCCTTGTGGAACAGAGCTTTTCATCGTAGCCGCCTCAAACTTTACTCTGTTGACTACTACTCTTTGTGTTTTGTTTGTGAGGAAATTATAGATCCATCTACCAAATTTTCCTGTTATTCCTTTAGCACGCATTTTGTGCGCTATTACGCCATGGTCACATTTGTCGAAGGCTTTTGCAAGGTCTGTATATGTTACATCTGCATTCTTTTTGTCTTCTAGTGCATCTAGGACCTTGTCGTAGTGATCCAGTAGATGGGACAGACAGGAGCGCCCTGCTCTTAACCCATGTTACCCTGGGTTGTGTAATTGATGGGTATCTAGATGGGTGGCAATCTTGCTTCTTAGGAACATTTTGAAGCTTTTTATGATATGGGATGTTAGTGCTATCGGTCCGTAGTTCTTTGCTATTGCTTTACTGCCCCCTTTGTGGAGTGGGGCTATGTCTGTTGTTTTTAGTAACTGTGGGACGACCCCCGTGTCCATTCTCCCTCTCCATAGGATGGTAAAAGCACGTGATAGGATTTTCTTGCAGTTCTTGATGAACACGGAGTTCCATGAGTCTGGCCCTGGTTCAGAGTGCATGGGCATGTCATTTATCACCTGTTCGAAGTCATTTGGCGTCAGGATAACATCAGATAGGCTTTTGTTTGCCAAATTCTGTGGCTCTCTTCGACTCTCAGTCTGGTTAGCGGCTTGCTAAAAACTGAGTCATATTGGGACTTGAGTAGCTCACTCATTTCCTTGCTGTCATCTGTGTAGGACCCATCTTGTTTAAGTAGGGGCCCAATACTGGATGTTGTTCTCAACTTTGATTTAGCATAAGAAAAGAAATGCTTTGGGTTTCTTTCGATTTCATTTATGGCTTTTAGTTCTTCCCGCGATTCCTGGCTCCTATAAGATTCCTTTAGCTTTAGTTCGATGTTTGCTTTTTCTCTGACCAGTGTTTCCCTACGCATTTCAGATATATTGGCCTCTTTTAGCCGCTCTGTTATTCTTATTCCGTCGCCTGTAAAAGGAGCGCCTCTCTCTTTCTGTTTTACATCTACTCCTCCTTTTTCTTAAAGGAATAAGCCTTGAGCATACATCGAGTGCCACAGAGTTAATCTGTTCTAGGCGTAAGTTGGGGTCTGTGTTGCTTAGTCTATCTTCCCAGCTTATGTCGTTTTGGACGTGGTTTATTTGGTCCCACTTTATGTTCTTGTTATTGAACTTGAATTTGGTGAAGGCTCCCTCGCAACTGATCTCATTTTGTCGGTCTGGGACTCCGCATATACATGTCTGAACCTCGATTATGTTGTGATCTGAGTATATTGTTTTTGATATAGTGACATTTCGTCACTATATCACTATATGAAGATGAGGTCTAGTGTATTCTCCAGTCTAGTAGGCTCTATTATTTGCTGGTTTAAGTTGAATTTTGTGCAGAGATTTGAAAGCTCGTGTGTGTGTGAGCTCTCGTCAGAGCTGCCTCCTGGTGCTATCACTGAAACAACATTATTTGCTATATTCCTCCATTTTAGGTGCCTCAAGTTGAAATCCCCCAGGAGCAAGATGTTGGGGGCAGGAGCTGGAAGATTTTCCAGACAGTGGTCAATTTTCAACAGCTGTTCCTGGAATTACTGGGATGTTGCATCCGGAGGCTTGTAGACTACCACAATGACTAGGTTTTCGTTCTAGATCTTTACTGCTAAAACTTCCACTACATCATTTGAGGCATTAAGCAGTTCTGTGCAAATAAGTGACTCTGCGATATACAGGCCAACTTCCCCCCCTTTTGCCTGTTCACTCTGTCGCATCTGTACAGGTTGTAACCTGGGATCCATATTTCGTTGTCCAAGTGATCCTTTATGTGGGTCTCTGTGAAAGCCGGGAACATTGCATTTGCCTCTGCAAGCAACCCACGGATGAAAGGTATTTTGTTGTTCGTTGCTGGCTTTAGACCCTGTATATTTGCAAAGAAGAATGTCATCGGTACTGGGGGGTTACTTTTTTTTCCGGCACTAATATCTGTATCTATTGGTTTGGAGTGGAGGCCATCGACTGTGGTTCCACTCCAGAAATGACTGGATTTGGCGTACGATTTCTGCCATTTCCTGCCAGTTTTTTTTTCTTCCTGGCACTAAAAAACCTCTCCCTCTTGAGTGGCTGTGGCTACCCAGGTTTTCCCATGGCCTGGATGTTTTGTATCTCATTGTTCCCTTTAGATGCTGTGCCTGGCAATTTAAGTTATAGCACTGTCTTTCGTGTACTGAAGAGGGACACATTTCAGGGTGAAAAAGCTTATAGGAAGGGAGTTTGCATTTTCCTGTTGTCATATGGGCACAACATTTTCTAGGGTGGTCAAAGTTGCATTTCCCATCTGTTTTTTCAGATTTCCCATGCCTGCAGATACCAAGTGCATAATATGTGCACAGGCTTGGTTTCCGTTTGCCTTGGGTTTCTGTGACTGTATTCCCTGTTGGTGCATATTTTCCTGTCTCATTCCTATCCTCACTAGTACTAACAATGGAGCTCTCACCAGTTGTTTCTGGTAATATATCCTCACTGTTACTAGTGGAGTCCCCTTGTTTGCTATCTCCTGTGGTATTACTAGTTTGTAATATTGGTTTTATCTTGTCCTTGACTACACTTGTTTCCCCACTACAGCTCCTGTCTCCCTCGAGGATATTTATATGCATTCCCTCATGCGTACATTTACTGTCTACCAGAACAGCACTTCCAGCCCCACAGTTACTGTCTACCAGGACAGCACCTCCAGCCTCACCATTACTGTCTACAAGGGCAGCACTTCCAGCCCCACAATTACTGTCTGCCAGGACAGCACCTCCAGCCTCACCATTACTGTCTACCAGGACAGTACTTCCAGCCCGACATTTACTGTCTACCAGGACAGCACCTCCAGTCTTACAGTTTCTGACTACATGTCCAGCACCAAGGGCGATATCATCCAGCCCAGACTTTTTATTTTCCCATCTGTTATAGAATACTTCCAGGTTTTCTATGAAAGCAGCTTTGATGTTATCCTCTTTTAATACCAATGTGATTTTAGTCCACAGATTGATCTCATTTGGGCATACCCAAAAACACTTCCCTGATTTAATACTGCTTGTAAATAATTCTTGGATATCTGCACAAGGGGCGTGACACCAATTTTCACAAAAATGGCAAGTAATTCACATGGAAGCCCGTTTGTTTGATTTACTGCAGACTATACAGAATTTCATGTGATTTCAGTGGTTGATTTACTGTTATTCTACTAGTAACCCCTTGAATATTCTAATAATAACCTCTTTAAAGTGAAGATCTGGCTATTTGTATTTCTATTTCTAACTGTACTTGTATATTAGGACAAGCTTACCGCTTTACATTTCTGCTTTATAGTTATTGTTTGTGTTTGATAAGGGCGCCCAATACCCCATCTGTTTATAGTCTGCTTTATAGTCCAACGAATCCGTTTGAAACCAGCCAAGGGTTCGGAACCAGTCAAGGGTTCGGAACCAGTCAGATCTGATCAGTGGATCACTTATTTAAAACATATCTGGTCAGTGATTTGGGCTAACTCATGAAGGAACTACTGGAAATTATTTAACCGAGTAATAGGTGATTAGATTGATACAAAAGTATAACTTGCGTGATGAAGAACCGGTGATTGCTGGCAGCTCCTACAATGACGAACGGTCGAGGCCTCAACCCTTATTTACAGCCTGAAGGTTTATAGATAACTATATCTAGCTTTTCTAGATTTTTTCCAT